AGCACCACCTGCCAAAATGAAAATAAAGACCTAATCCATCAGTCTATAGTTCTGAAAAGTCTCTGAATGTACTAACCTTGCTTTTTGGCTTCAGTAGTTCCACTTTTGGCTAACTGTTCTTGTTAACCAAAGTATGTCAACCTAGAATATGGTTTTTGTGCTTAAAAACTCACCCAGAGAAAGGCTTGGGGCTGTGCTGGGATCCCAAATACCAAGTGTAGGCATCGGCCGGCTACATCATCATCATCATCATCATCATCATCACCATCGTATGTGGGTGGGAGAGAGAGACAGAGACACAGAGAGAGACGCTGTTTAAGATGGCTTAAACCCATGCCTGAGCAGTCTTCTCTGGTGAATACTCCACAACAACACATAACCAATGATGAAGTGGAGACACCACCCCCTTTTCACAAATACAAAACTGGCACTGAAATTGTGGTTTGGAAAACCTTGAGAGCCACACAGGTATGCCTCGGATTCATTTCCCAATGGAGAAGTCTCTAACCCTCTGTCTGTATTCATAGGGAAGAACATTTTAATTCTTCAAATTTAATTAAAGCTTAATATATTCTGTCTTTAGTAGCAGGGGGTGTTTTTTTTTTTTTTTATTTATTTATTTATTTATTATGTATACAGTGTTCTGTTTGCATTCATCCCTGCAGGCCAGAAGAGGGCCCCAGATCTCATTACAGATGGTTGTGAGCCACCATATGGGTGCTGGGAATTGAACTCAGGACCTCTGGAAGAACAGCCAGTGTTCTTAACCTCTGAGCCATCTCTCCAGCCCCGGGGGTGTTTGTTTTTATAGTTTAGTTTTTTTCTCCTGTGATATAACCCTTTCTACTTCAGACTTGTTAGAAGAAAAATTGTACAAAGATTTTCAAATCTCTTTTCAAAAATAGAGCCCAATGCTTTCATTAAAAATTAAAAAGTTATTGGAGCTCTAGTAATTTAGTCTAGGAAATGAATTTTCTTGTGTCTTGACTAGCTAGTTAATATTTAACACATAAGAACACATAATGCAAGTCCCTGTGAAATTAATAAGTATGCCTTGAACTACAGCACCATCCCTTCTAATCCCCCCCCCAAAATGACTATAGCACTGTTTCATCAGTGATGGCATCATCATCATCATCATCATTGTATGTGGGTGGGAGAGAGACACACACAGAGACACAGAGAGAGACGCTGTAGAGTCAGTTCTCTCCTTCTGTCTCCATGAGGGCTCCAAGGATCAAACACAGGTCACCTTTTTTTTTTTTTTTTTTTTTGAGGGAAGTGCTCTTGCCTGCTGATCCATCTTGATTGTCCTTATATTTTTCTTATATTTAAGACTTACTTATTTTTATTTTATATGTATGGGTTTTATCTGAATGTATATCTATATACCATGTGAGTGCAGTGCCCTCAGAGGCCAGAAGAAGAGGTCATATTCCCTGAAAATAGAGTTATAGGTGGCTGTGAGCCACTATGTGGGTGCTGGAAACCAAACCCCTGTCCTCTGAAAGAGAAGTGATCTGAACTACCCATCCATTTCTCCAGTCCCTACTTCTTTTTTTTGTTTGTTTTTTTGGTTTTTTGAGACAGGGTTTCTCTTGTGTAGCTTTGCGCCTTTCCTGGAACTCACTTGGTAGCCCAGGCTGGCCTCGAACTCACAGAGATCCGCCTGCCTCTGCCTCCCGAGTGCTGGGATTAAAGGTGTGTGCCACCACCGCCCGGCCCTACTTCTTTTTTAACATCAACTGCAGTCCACTTCTCAGACTGCTTCAGAGGCACAGGATCATTTGGTTGCAGCAAGTGTCCACCCCTTCACTGAAGTGGTTCTTAGATGCTTTGGGCAAACCCCCACTGATTTCCTCTCTGGAGACTGATCTTTGTGGGGACAAATCTGATATTCTTCTGGCTGATAGCAACAAGCAAGACCACTTTCATGAACACATGACTGATGCCCTCACATGAGACCCCAAACCCCAAAGTTTCTTGTGTTTGGTTGAATGCTTTATAATCTCTATCTTGAAATCCTGAACAACCTTGAACTCACTATGTAGACCAGCCTGGCCTTGAACTCACAGAGACATGCCAGCCTCTGCTTCCCGAATGCTGAGATTTAAGGCATGCACCACTGTGCCCAGCTACATTTCCAGTTTACACAGGGTCCCCTAATCTCTGCAATACAAGAGCAAACATGCTGTTCATTTGGTTTCCTAGAAAATGCTTATCTCATCCTCTCCAAAACTATGTCCGTCTGAGTAGTTAATTATTTACCTTTTCGTCAAGAAAGACTCGACCTCTATGCACCTAAGTACACTTTCCTGTTAGCCCTCAGCCAACATCATCTTCACAATACTGGAACCCTCATGTCACATAGTTTCAAGGACTCTTAGGTCATTGACCAGCAATGCTGCCCAGTGACCTTAGTCTTTTTTATGATGTGTGAGATAAGCTGGTTTCATTAAGATAAATGTGGCATGTTAGTTATGTCAGTAAATCTTAGTCTGTGCTTTGTTTTCCCTGCTGTGACAGACTCAGTAAGAAGAACACGACAGTGCTCTCCCCATCCAAAAGAATCTCTGCTTATGCCCGCTGGGATTGTTTGAATATCATGTCTCTTCTGCCTGGCATGCAGGATGGGCAGAGAGGAGAGCAACCACGGGGTGGAGGGGGCAAGCATGCAGTTGCCAGATGAACCAGACAGGTGAAGATTGCCCAAGACCAGGAGAGGAACACAGGTTCGCATGTCCCTTCCATTACTCAAGAGGGAGGCGACAGAACCTCAGGGAAGGAATGGGTGTGGCCTGCTTCAGCAAAATTACACTGCCTGGCGTTGCCCAGAAGCAACAGAGTCTCAGGCTTCCAGGGTCCAATTTGGAAAGTGGAAATATTATTGGTGATTAATATGGCTCAAAACTGGGACCCTGTCCCTGTCCCCCATTTTCTCTTTATGTGTAAAACACTGGGGAATAAGGTGAGTGTAGTGGTGCATGCCTGTAATCCTAGAAACTGTGAGGCCACAACAAGATTTTGAGTTCCAGGCCAGCCTGAACTATGTAGCAAGAAGTTGGTTCAAAACAAGGACGAAAATGTCTGAGTAAGTAGAAGAAAGTAGTGGCTTTGATTGGAATGCCACTTATGTTGAGGAGTAGACGAGGGCCTATGGAAGTAGACACCTGCTGCCCCCGTTGAAAAGAAATTCCGTCCATCAGGCCTCTTCCTAACAAGTTCCTCTTAGAATCATGTAGATAAGGAGGAAAGTAGAAGTCAGGTCGTGACTTCGGGGAAAGAGTCTGAAACAGGGAGTGCTGGCCCCGTCAACTGATCTGACTTAGGTTCCTAAAGCCCCATGTACAACGGGAAGTGTTAGCAGCTTTGTACAAAATACCTACCAGTAAGACTTCGCGGCCCCTTTGTCTAATGCCAGGGTCAGGCCCCCTTGCAACTTTAAAAACATACAATTGATAAGGATTCAGAAACCTCAAAACAGAAAACCAGTCCATAGTCTTAGGACTGGTACTGAAAACAACAACGAACTGGTTTTTTGTTTGTTTGTTTTTTGTTTTAACTAGAATCCGTGTTGTTTCCATTACAGTTTCTGTTACCATGAGACTCCATAAGTTAGCTTTTTCTCCACCAATCAGAGCAGAGGCACTTAAGAGAGCACTTGAATAAACCTATCGGCTTAAGAAGTGGGCTTGATGAGTTAGCAGAGCAGTACGAGCGGCAACAGATATCACCCGGGCTTGTTGGGCAAAACAGACTTCATAGCAATGCCATTTTAAGACATCTTAAGATAGATTTGAGGAGCCAGGCATTGATGACATACGCCTTTAATCCCAATACTTGGGAGGCAGAGACAAGCAGATCTCTGTGAGTTCGAGGCCAGCCTAGTCTACAGAGCAAGTTCCAGGACAGCCAGGAGGGCTACACAATGAAACTCCATCTCAAAAAAAAAAAAAAAAAAAAAAGATAGATTTGAAAACTCCAAGGGCGGTGTATCTGGGACATCAGTCACAGACGACAGTCATGTAGGAGGCAATTCCTTTTTTTTTTTCTTTCCTTATTTTACTTTTTGATTTTATGTGGTTTTTGTTGTTGTGTTGTCTTTGTTTTGTTGTTTCTGTTGTTAGGGGTTCTTGGCATTACAGTGCTGTTATGTGACTCTATTCTGGGGAGAAATGAACAACTGTCTACTCACTCCAGATAGGGAACTGACCACAGACCAAAGTATGGATACCACCAAAGTCCAACTTGGTGAACCAATGAGTTTTATTGGGTTTATTCACAAGAACACGAGTGAGGGGTTACTTATCGGAGCAGAAATGACTGAAAAACAAAGCCCACCCAAGCTTGGATGACAGCTGACATAAGCTGGAAACCTAGAACCCACTGCACAGCCTGCAGAGAGCTCAACGGGATGGAGTGTCCTTTCCTGGGGGCTCAGTTGGTGTGAGCCTCTTCCAGGGAGCTGGGCTGCTCTCCGCTTCTTCCCTCTGCTCCTTCCGGGCAGCTAGGCTTGTCTGAGGTTCTCTCTCAGCAGGCTTTACTGCTTAGTCACACTTGGGGAGGGAGGGGTCCAGGAACTGGTCAGTATCAGGGACTCGGTGAAACTATTTTGAATTGTTTACCTCCTGTCTTAACAAGCTTTTCTGTGGGGTGGAATATTTCATTCTCCCCTAGAACATCCTGTTGTTTTATCTCTCTGTAAACATCTGTCTTAGGAAGTTTCCCTCCAAGATGGAAGGTTTTAAATTTTGAGGAAACCCATACACAAGTACAGTCTCTCTCGACAGGAACTGACTTGGAGAAAATGATTGAGCAACGATCTCAGAGACACACAAGACCTTTCTGTTCCCCAGAATTTCAGATGACTGGTGTCCCAAGTCCTCTCCTTAATAAAACAGGAATTTCTTCCATCTATCCAATTCCATAGCAGTGGGACCCTGCTCCTGAAAGTTTTCCAAGCACTTCTCTGCACTCTCCTGGCTGCTTGATGAACACTAGCCAAATGGTCCTAGGTCTTACAGTTATAAGCAACCCCTGCCTTTGTCCCCAAAGAGTGGGTTCATTAGTCAACTCAGCTTACATGTATTTTGGGTAACATTATGCAGCCGGATTTGGGGTTATAAGACTTTCAGTCACTCGACAACAATTAGATGTGTATTTTCTTTCTCCACAGTCTCATTGCCCAGTGCATTTCTAATGCGAGCCCAGAAGAGCGGCTGCTGGTGAGCACTGTCTGGCCAGGTGATAAATGTCTGTCTGTTTATGAGTTTCCTGAGTCGGTGGTAGCTGGACAGCCTATAGTTAGGAATCTCTTCAAGGAAAATCAAGATAATGACATCCTTGTGCTCATAGAACATCTTCATGCTGGCCAGCTGGACTTCAAGCCGGCACCATTCACTGTGCAGGTACTGGTTACTGACCACACACAAAGTTTTCCGGCTTGTGTTGATTGCATTCTGGATGTTCTCAAAGATGTCAATGCCAGGTTCAAAGTCCCGGTGGTGAAGACAGAGCTTAAAGGTGGTCTGGCTGCCTTCTTCTAGGGCTGGAACAAGCTCTTTATATACCCACTCCTCATCGGTGGCTGAGAAAGAGACAAATGCATCATACAAGAACTTCTTCTCTGTTTTGTTCCATTTAGTGAGGTACCAAGCCCTACATATGTACAAACCATACCACAGAGAGGAAATCATCTTGGCACTGAACCAAGAGAAGACCATGGTGGTGAGAACTACACTGAAGGAACAGAAGAAGTAGACCATTCCGAAGTCAAAATTACACATGGCATCATCAAAATCTATAAGCAAACTCTGGCTCTCTGGCTGCTGACAAGGGTAGCTCCGGAGGAAGGGGACGTGGACCTCCCCTGTGTTCATTGACCAGTTCTTGAACCACATATTGTCACAGTTGCACTGAAGTTTGTTCCCATAGACATCAAAAAACATCAATGATTTCAGATTCTCCAGATGACTTTGATTAATGACCTTCAAGTTGTTGAATCTTAAAGATAAGACCTGTAGGCTCTGTAAGCTGGAGAACATGCCAGGAACCAACGAATCCAAGTTGTTATTTTCAAGGCGCAGGATCTTTAGCCTTTTGAGTTTTTTGAATAAGGAAGCATTTAAATAGAGACTTCGATCTCCACCTTTTGTTCCTGAGATATCCAACTTGGTGAGATTAATCAGAGGGTCAAATTGGCGGTGGTCCAGGAATATGGAGGGATTTTTTCCTAGGAGTAACTCCTGCAAGCTACTCAACCCTTGGAAAAAGTTGCTTGGAACAACCTGAATCCCATTTTGTTGTCCTTCTAGACTGAGCTGTTTCAAAGACTTGAGCTTCATAAATGGAGGGTATTGAAGGGTCCTAGTGGTTTCATATTTGATCTTATTAAAACCGAGTTTCAAAACCTGCAGCTTTTCCAGGTCCGAGAAAAGGTGTTTATGAAAATATGACAAGCTATTGTACACCAGGTCAAGGTGATGTAGGTAAGTGAGACCGGAAAAGGCACTGGGCTCTATAATTTCCAGGCGGTTGTGGGAGAGAATCAAAACACTGAGTTTTTTCAGACATCGGAAGGTTCCACGGTTGAGAGTCCGGATATTGTTGGCTCCAAGATCTAAGAGCTCTAAATTTGGAAATTGAGCAAAGGAATATCTATCAATTGTTACTATCCAGCACCCAGCTAAGTTGAGCTCCTTCAGTGAAAATAGCCCACTGAAGGCCAGGTTATTGAGTTCTGTGATGGGGTTTCTTGAGAGAAAGAGATACTTCAGGCCCTTCAAGGGTGAAAACGCAAAATCTGGAAAGCTTTTAAACTTGTTGTGGCTCAGATCTAGGATGGTCAAGTTCTGCAGGGAACTCCAGGTCCTGTTGCTGATGAAGGAAAGCTGGCACTTGTTTAGATTCAGTCTTTGGAGACTGGGTAGAGCGTCAAACTCACTGTCATTGAGATGAACCAAGTCACTGTTTTGGCCCAGGTCAAGGAACAAAAGCCTGGTACACTTTGCTAGATGCTTAATGCCCTCCGAATTGATGGCATTTTTCTGAAAAACCAGCGCCTCTAACATGGGTAGGTTTCTGAGGAGGTGACAAACAGTTTTCACATTTAAGTGACCATGTCTAAGCTCCCGGTTACTGAGGTCTATAACCCTTATATTCTGCAGGTGTTTGGCTGAAAGCATCTCTAGTTTCACTGATGTTCCACTCAGATTCAAGCTCCTGAGTTGGGGCAGAGTTTCCAGATACACATTCTGAATGACGCCATGGCCATTCTGGGAAGCACTTAGAGTGGTTAGGTTAGGCAGTGACAAGGCAGAGAAGTTTAACTCCATTAGTTTGTTCCCCTGGAAACTCAGGTGGAGCAGAGAAACCAACGACTTAGGACTGTGGTCCAAGTAGATAATGCTGTTGTTAGTAAGATCAAGGTACTCCAGGCACGGGAGATACTGGACTGCTTCAAGAATAACAGAAAAATTGCTAATGTTGTTTCGAGCTAGGCTCAAATATTTCAACTTGACCAGAGGAGCAAAGGCTTTTTGGTGAATATGGGTAATCTGATTGTGGTTCAGGAGCAAGGTCTCCAAGTTGGACAGGCCCTCAAACGAGTTATTCACACTTTGAATCTTATTTTCCACTAAATTCAGAAGGGTCAAGTTTTCCAGTCCCCTGAAGGCACCTTCATCGATCTTCCAAATGAAATTCCACTCTAGTCTCAAGTCCAGCAGAGCAGGCACATTAGTGAAGCTCCGGGCAGGAAGGATTTCAATGTAGTTCTCCGTCAGGTTGAGGTGAGTAGTGTATCCAGGTATGTCACTAATGGCATCTGTCAAGTTGGTGATCTTCTTCCGAATGCAGAACACATGGTGAATATCAAATTCATACTGTGTGCACTTATTGAACCCATATGTGTCTACCAAAGACAGCAGAGAAAGCCCGATGAACAGGAGCAGGAGCTGGAGAGCAGGTACCAAGTTGCCCCAACTCATCTTGACTGCCCCAGGCATCCAGGTTACAACAGGAAAAAAATCCCTCCACACATGTAATGCTCATGTTCGAAGGCATGCTCTTTACCTATGGACTTGGCTGCAAAGAAAAACAAAGGTTTTTAGTTTAAAATTCTCTTCCCTAATAACTATTTCATAGCTGCTTCAAGGAAACAAAAAAAAGCTTAATCCCAAACATTGACTTTTTTTTTTGCCCCTGAGGTAGGGTTTCTCTGTATAACAGGCCTCTGTCCAAGAACTTGCTTTGTAGACCAGGCTGGCATCAAACTCACAGAGATCTGCCTGCCTCTGCCTCCTAAGTGCTCAACACCAACTTTCAAAACCCACTTCCAGAGCACTCTCTTATCAAAAAAGGCTGCTGCTCGTTTTTTGCAAGCAAAATGTTCAGCACAAAGAGCCAAAGGAGGCAAGACTGTGTGTCATTTAACTTATGTAAATTGGGGTATGTCTCCTACCCTCATTTTCCATCTGAGAGTAAAACATCCCCCTTGTCTTGTGGGCTGATACCCAAAATGCCATCACTACTGATGCATTAGGTGGGTTGGTGTAACAGAATGGCATATGTGACACAAGTCACTTGTGCCTCAATGTGAATGAGGCCATACGATCAGTGATTTCACCACAATTTGCATTTGATGGAGGGAGAGGTGGGCTGGTAAAGGTTTGTACTTGAGCTGAACTGAAGGATGAAAAGGGGGGAAGGGAAGGGAGAGAAACATTGGGCAGGAGGAAGAAGGAACATTGAGATAACTTGATATAATTTGAGCAAGATGCCTTGACTAGTGACGAGCATGAACACAATAGCTGAGTATGTGATTTTTAGGATCAGTCTATACATTTGGTAGCTTTTCTCCCAGTGACTTGCTTGTTTAGCTCCATTCTCCCTTTTTTCTTTTCTTTTCCTTTTTGATGCTTTGTGAACATTCTTGTATATTCTTTGTATATTAATCCTTTGTTAGTATCAATGATTTACATATCTGCTGCCATCTATAATTTAACATTGTCTATGAACTCCTTTGTTGATAGAAAAAAATCAGTAATAATATGGTGTAGAAGTAAGTTTTAATTGTCACCCTGAAACAATGTGGAATCGAGTGAGACAAGTTTCAGGGAAGGACTGTCGAGATGAGATTAACCTGGGAGCTTATCTGTAGGGGGTTGTCTTAATTACATTAATTGATATGGGAAAACTTAGCCTAAAAGTGGGTGGCACCATTCCTGTGGTTGGGCTCAGAATCCTGTGAGAGTAGGGAAAGCTAGCTGAGCAGTTGGCATGTGTTCACTCTCTGCTCTTGACTGTGGTTGTAACGTGAGCAGCTGCTGAGTTCCTGCTGCCCACATTTCCCTGCAGTGATGGACTACCTATGAAAATAGGCTCTGTGAGATGCTGTTTTGTTTGGATCTCTGCAAACACCGGGACTGGCAGAGTGACAATCTATGTCAGGCAAGAAGGAAATCTGGTTCAGCGTGATTTAGTTAACTGGTGCTGGTTGAAACTTCTAGAGTCTGACACTAGGCAGTTTATTTTAGGCATATTCAAGCACAGCACGATTTTGGAAATTCCTGATGATGAATGAAGCCTGTGTGTACAACAAAGCTTAAGACTTGTTTACACTGAAGCTCTTTACAAATTGCATGTGATTTCTTCCATAAAGATGGGTTCTGTTAACTCAGAAACAATGCTCAAGATAAGAGTCTTTGGAGAATGACTGAGCTAAACATAACAGCCCAGGGGGGTCAGGAGTGGCCTGACCCTACAGATCCCACAGAGGTTTCCCAGGCTGTTGTGAAGAACAAGTGACATCTCTCAGAAGGATGGGTTTTATGGACTGGGAAACAACATTCAAGAGAAAGGACTAGGGAGGAAGTGTCTAAGATAAACCAACATAGCAGTTTTTCACGATACAGTTGTAACCTGGCCCCACAGATAGCACTGGTCACCAGGCTATTAACTACATCCATTCCCAGCTCTCTGGGTAGAAAACAGGTCAACATGTTCTTGTTAAGGAGACAACCCTGCCTGTTTAAATTCCCAGTTTCCCTAGTACTTACCTGTGAGCACAGGGACCTTCTGCCCTCTACACTAGTTTCTGTGCTGTCTCCTGGAAGTGTTTAGGTCATGTTATTTTTAGGACTCTATTTCCTCTTATTTTTCTAGTTTGATACAGCAAAGGTACCAAAAATTTTATTGGTGTTGATCTTAAATACAAGCTGAATTCCCTTATTTGTTCTTAAAATGTGAGTGTTGTATTAGGGGTTTTCATTAGTTAGTTTTTTTTGTTTGTTGTTTTTTTTTTTCGTTTGTTTTTGCTTTGTTTTTCTGAGACAAGTTTTCATTATGAAGGTCTAGTTGTCCTAGAACTCACTATGTAGACCAGGCTGGCCTCAAACTCAAACTCACAGAGATCTGCCTGCCTCCGCCTCTCAAGCGCTGGGATTAAATGTGTGTACCACTATAACCAGTGTAGTTTATCTGTTAATGATTATGCCTTCAGCAAGTAATAGAAATTATACCTTTCCTTTTAAGTTCACTCATTTTCTGTGCCTTTCTTTTATGTTGATTTCCTAAAAGCTTCTAATACTATATTAAATTATAGAGCATGTCTTCTTGTCAGTGAGATGACATCTATAAGCTTCCTATTAATTATTATTTGCCATAGTTCTTGACAAATGTCAAGTCAGGAGAATTCCTTCCTATTCTTAAATTTTTAAGATTGTGTGTGTGGGGGGGCTGTTTCCATGGATGCCAGAAAAGGGTGCCAGATTTATTGGACCACAGAGCAGGCACCACGACTGAGCTGAATAAATTAACTCAATAGGGAGCAGAAGTTTAAGGAGTTTTGTTTGTAGTTCTTGAGAAAAGGTCCCACTCTGGAGCCCAGGCTGTCCTAGATCTCACTATGTACCCCAGGCTACACTGTGGTTTTTAAGGCATTTTTATCTTTTAAGGTAACAAGAATGAAACAGTACAGAGAGGAGAGACCTCCTACAAAAGTAAATGCAAGAAAAGGAGAGATGGGATGGAGCCAGGTATTAGAGCACAAGGCCCTGGGTTGGGGCCCCAAGACTCTCCTAAACCAAAAGAACTTAACTTTTCTGGGCGTGGTCACCCATGCATACAATCCCAGCACTCAGGAGCTGAAGCGGGAGACCCACTTGGCTGAGAAACCTAAGGCCGCCTGTGCAACTCCGAAAGAAAGAAAAAGAGGATGAAGACAAGAGCAGAGCGGACAAGGAAGGGGAAGAGAGGGAGGAGGAGAGGTGGAGGAAATGGAGAAGAAGGAGGAAGAAGCAGTAAATCCATATTGCATAACGTGGCTGGAGGAAACTGGGTGAAGCAAGATGACATTGCTAGATTAATGTGCTCTTTGTTCTCGGCGGTGACGAAGGCCGGTGGTATAAGCCCTCCAATCTACCGGAGTTTGCTACAAGAATATTGTAAATGTTGGTAAAAAAAAAAAAAAACGCCAGGAAGTAGTCTAAAGGCAAACATGAAACCCGTCCTAAACATGGAAATCTCCTGTCCTCCAAGGGACACCTAGGGGAGCATCATCACTGAAGTTGTCCTGGGGCAGGACGGGTAGAGGAGACAAGGAGCAGACAGAGCCAAAGTCAGAGCAGGAAGCTGAGGCCTGACAGCCACACAAAGAGAATTCTTAAAGGTGTGGAGCTGGCTTCAGCAGGCTTGGCAGGTGAGATCCCAGAGCATTGAAGAGGGCAGGGAACAGGCCAGGCTTTAAAGGCAACTGCTTCTTCAGCTGGGTTTTTAAAATTACATTGCATTTCATTTCACTGAGTGCCTGTGTGTGTGCGCGTGCGTGCGTGCGTGCGTGCGTGCATATGTGTGTGTGTGTGTGTGTGTGTGTGTGTGTTTTGTGTGGGCATGTGCACAACAGCTCGAATGTGGAGGTCAGAAGACAATGCGGGAGTTAGTTTCTCTTCCCACCGCTTACTTGGGTCCCAGGGACTAATTTAAATTCAGGTTGTCTCAGGCTTGGCAGCAAGTGTCTTTTTTTGTTGACCCTTGCAGACTGGAGTTTATGGGCTCACTCACCACAACAGTGTGTGATGCCAGGGACTTTGGAAAGGACAAGGCAGAGGACCAACCCCTTCTAGTTGTGGCATTAAAAATAAGGCAAGGATGCTTAGTATAGTCATACACGCCTGTAATCCTAGCACTGGGGAGGCTGAGGCCAACCTGGTCTCAAGAAAGATCTGAAAAACAAACGTCAACTGATTTACAATGTTGCACACCCTTGTTTAGAAAACCCCAATCCTAAAGCTTCTCTTTCCACTAGCACCATATGCTACACCAAAAGCACCTTGAGTCCAATTAAAACAAATGAACAAAAACCTAAGTAGCAGGAAAAGGAAGTGGGTGAGTAGGATGTGGGGACTCATGCCTTGAATCCCAGTACTTAGGAAGGAGGGGCTGGAAGATCAGGAGTTGAAGGCTAATTTCAGCTATATGTCAAGTGTGAGAGTCTGGACTATGTGAGCCCCCTTTTCAAAAACCAAACAAGTAAAAACGGTGTGGCCAGAAATAGTGAGTGGCACACATGTATAACCCCAGCACTGAGGAGATGGAGGCAAGAAAACCGTGAGGTTAAGGCCAGCCTAAGCCACAGAGTGAGACCCAGCCTTTAAAAAATGGTTCCAAGCCTGGATGCTGGCACTCACCTTTAATCCCAACACTCATGAGGCAGAGGTAGAAGGAACTTTGTGAGTGCCAGGCCAGCCTGGTCTACATATCGCATTCCATGACAACCAGGACTACACAGAGAAATCTGAATGCCCGACCCCACAAAAAATGGGTGCTAGCATCAGAGGTATGTCTCAGTGGGTAGAGGTGCTTGCTACAAAGCCTGGTAGCCTAATTTCCATCCTGGGACCTACATGGTAAGAGAGCTGACATCTCCGGGCTGTCCTCACCTTCACGGGCACAGCATGGCATGCACACACTCAGCATCGCCACCCCTTCGTACACAAAATAAAGAAATCAAACTGTGTGTGTGTGTGTGTGTGTGTGTGTGTGTGTGTGTGTGTGTGTGTGTGTCTTTAAATGGGTTGCTGCAAGCC